GAATTTGACCCCAGGGCTACATTTCAAATATATGGGACTTAGTGGACGAAAAGGACAAAGAAATAATGTTAATGCTTTATGAACGTAAAATAACAGGGAAAGAAATTATAGTTAGTAAAACCATACTCAGTAAAATTTACTTAAGTCTTACATTATATGTCAAAACGTAGGTCCTTACACTCAAATGGGTTGAAGTGCTCTTCTTACCAAAACTCACTGCACCTCTGACCACTTGAACTCCTTCTAGTGTTCTCAAAAGGCAAGGCTTGGTTCTTCACATCCAAACTCAAACTTACATGTCACAAGTATTCCAATATTTTGTAAACAGGTACTGCTCTCACAAGTAATTTTTTTTAAGATATCCCTCTATTAACCCTAATTTATTTAAACGTAAATGTTGTTTTTTAAAAAATTAGTTTGAACCATATGAAACTGCAGTGTCTGAAGGTCAAAATGCACAAATATTGAAAATATATGTACACGTCCTATACGTACACCTAAAGATATACACATCTTTATTGGTTTTTTTAATCTTTAAAAGTTCTTTTCTTTTCCTATTATAAGGGAAATACTTATTGGAAATAATGAATGAAAAAATGTATAAAAGATGTATAAAAACAAAAAATTCCCTTGACCTCTCTGCTTAGCCCACCTCCAAAAAATGATACATGTTGACAACCAGCTTCCCTACCTTTGTCTATCAATTATTTGTCCTTAATATTTTTTCAGGCCAGATTTCCCAAACATTCTTGAGATTTATTCTCCCATTCTACTACTAACTTTCCTTAATTTTCCAAGGCATTTTTGTTCTGACCAGATCTCAACATCCCACTTTACAGCAATCTAAATTTTGACTAAATGTCATCTGGAATCAAGTGTGACAATCATCCCACTTTCTGCTTTTAATATATTTTGCTTAATCTTCAACTTCGGATTCTGGCAACAGAGAAGACTAAATTTTAATGAACTTAGTATACTACTACAAAAAATTGAGCATGATGGGTAAAAGAGAAGATATCTTTAAATTCACAACTGCAGTTATAAAAGAGGAAATTCTCTGTTGCACAAAACAAAGAGAAAGTACAGTGCTTACATTGGGGGATTTTTTTTTTTTACCAGAAAAAAGGATCTCAAAGCTCACATCAGGTTTCAACAACCATACTGAATGCTAGACCCCAAATGTTAAATCATCTTCTAGAAGCAAAGAATTAGAATGGAAATGTCTGCGTGAAGCCAAACCTTCAGAGTGCAGCAACCTCAGTGGAACAGAGGCTTAAAAACTAACCTATACCTCAGAGAGACAACAAGGAAATTTCTTGTCCTTTGGTTGCGATCGTCAGCTGAAATAACATTGACACCTGGCAAGAGTAAATGTCAAAGTGCTGTGAAGGCTACTTCTATGGCAAAGATCTCACAGAGTGTTTCAAAATAGATGATGGGCTCACAGTCAAAAGCTCAGAAACACACAAGTAAATGATGCATCACAGGCAAGAGTTGGCAGGTGCAATAACATCCCATGGTAACAATCTGAAATAGCATGTTTTAAAATGTACCTGAGATTTAATGTATAGGTAAGACTGAGTGCCACTGAAAGAAGTGTGTCCCATTTTCCAGAAAGTAGAGGCATATTATGACAAGCAGAGCCACAAGAATTCAGAACACATACAGAGGTTGGGACTACATCTTTATTACTACAAGGGAAGAAGGTAGCTAGGTGGCAAAGTTCTCTACCAGGCAGGGAACAGACAGAAGCTGGGGCAATGTGATTAGAGAGGTCTGGAACATGGTCTGCACAAACCCATAAAAGCTCAGTCAAAATATAAACAATTTTTAGCATTGGTTTGGCCCTGTGATTAATGGATGCCAAATTATCAATTATAAAAATCTATAAAAGTTGGTTATAACTGAGATGAAAGGAATTAAAAGCACAAAGAGCAAGATACTAGTAGCTATCTGATACCCTCCTATTCTTTTATAGGTGTGTCTAAAACCCCCCTTCACTTTTCTAAGTTGCTTCCATGCTATAAATTTGCCCATATGATGTGATCTGAGGTTCCTAAAAGAGCATGCAATCCATTTCTTTCTCCTGCTGGCAAATACATAAAATGCCCAGTTAATCATCCTTTCTGTTTAAGATAGTGAACCTTTTTATTTAAAAAGTACCTTTAAGCCAGGCATGGTGGCACATGCCTATAATCCCAACACTCTGGGAGGTTTAGGCCTGAGTATACAAAGCTCAAGCCCAGTATGGGCAACTTAGCAACTTGGTCAGGCTGCGCCTCAAAATTTAAAACCAAATAAAACTGAAAAGAGCAGGGAATGTAGCTCACAGCAAAGTGTCTGGGTTCAAGCATTAAATAGATAAATTTTAAAATAAAAAGTACCTTTAAAGGTTAATACACTAACAGCTGCTAACATAAACAGTTAAAGTGATTACTTAGTATGCCATCATGGGAGAATGGAATACAGGTATTGGAAGTCGGGACACTCCTATAGGGAAATAATTCAAACTAACCTTACTTGGCATCCAAAGAAAAAGAAAACAAGAAGTAGCACAAAAATTCAAAACATGAGGATAGATTTTCTGAGAATAAGACTTCTTTTACTTTCTAGTTTTACTTAGGACAGTGATGGCAAACCTTTTAGAGTTTTCAAGGATAACAAACAGCTGGCTAAGGCTGTTGTGCATGAGTGCCATAGGTTCATCACCAGCAGCCTAGGGGTAAATCTGAATTTTGTCTAGAGTTGCTCCTATATTCCAGTTGAAGCAAAATCTCCTTTAAATTTTTATCTCTGTATGACTACTAAAGACTTTCTATCCAGCTAACTTGGAAGTTCCTTGACGAAGAAACAATTTTCACAACAGCTTCCAGTCACTACTCAATTAAAATGACTTGCTCAGAAAAATGTCATGTGGGGAAAGTCTGGGGCCAAACACAAAAGAAATACTTTCAGAAATTTAGATATCCCCAGAGAAAAACATAGCCATGTCTGCTCCCCACCACCACCCGCCGTACCAGGAATCAAACTCAGGACCTTGCCCTTGCAAGGCAGGAACGATGCCACTGAGCTAAATTCCCAGCTGCTTCTTCCTATTTGAAATAAATTTCCTCCCATGCTATAAAAATCCCACCCAATAAAAAAGGTAAAAAGCATACTTCATTTGCAGAACCAAGAATATCTGAAGCTGGCGCTTTGGGACCAATTTCTTAAAAGAGACTAAACCGAAAATTCCAAGCAGTAAGCTGGTTATGTTGTTTGTTAACACCAATATCAAAACTGTTCTACTATCCTACCTTATCAGCATATAAAGGGAAACTTTAATGCCTTGAACTTCTAATCCTAAAGCAAAGGATATATTTCAATAGCAAAGGATCACCAAGTTCCCAAACAAAATAGGACCAGTAAGGAAAAGCAAGACAAAAGACCAAATTTTAAATACATCTTCCTGCTCCAATGAGGTCACCAGAAGGAACATCTGCAAAAGTGGAACTGTTTTTAAATATTTCTGGAGTTAGTTACTTTAAATGATAGCAGTTCCTGTTAGAAACATTACTGTAGCGGAGTTGTGATGTGCCTAGATCATTTATCAACATCCAAGCAGCTATAAATGACTAACCTCTAGCAAGGAGAAGGCATATTAGCACTTATGAAGAGTCTCATTGCTAGCTTTGGTTCAAGAATGTAAGAAACAGAGGAAGCTATTACAAAGTCTGTATTAATATGCAAGAGCTGGGTGTGGTGGCACAGGCCTGTAATCTGAGCACTCCGGAGGCTGAGGCAGGAGGATCACTGTGAGTTCGAGACCAGCCTGGGCTACATAGTAAGTTCCAGGTCAGTCTCAACCACATAGTGAGACTCTGTCTCAAAAAAAAAAAAAAAAATACAAGATAGGTCATTAGTCCCCTCCATGACTCTATTTCTAGATTATCATTCATTTTGTTTTGTTTCTCTGTTCTTGGGATCACAAGGCCTCATACACGCTACTCAAATGCTCCACCATTCAGCCACATCTCTAGCCCAGTTTCTAGATTATATTTTCAAAGCACATAAGTAAACTTCTCAAGGGGAAAAAGATTTATCTGTCTCTTCCCTGTCAAATATTTATGAAAATCCTTAAATGGGATGATGTCTTCAAAAGTTTTCACAAGATCAAGAAAAACATCAAGACAATTAAAAGGGAAAAGAATCGTCTTTTCAACAAAAGGTGCTCGATCACTGGACACTCACATGCAAAGGAATTAATTTGGATTCCTATCCACAACATACACAAAAATAAACATAAATTGATTAAAGAAGCCTGGCATGGTGGCACATGCCTGTCATTTCAGCACTTGTGAGGCTCAGGCAGGAGGATCACCATAAGTTCAGGGCCAGCCTGTAGTAAATGGTGAATTCAAGGCCAGCCTGCACTACAAAGCAAGTCCCTATCTCAAAAAAAAAATTTTTTTTTTTATTGAAGAACTAAACTAAATGAATCAAGGAGCCAAGTTATAAAGCTCTTAAAAGAAAACATGAGAATGATTCTTCATAACCTTGGATCAGGCCATGGTCTGTCTCTTAAATACAACAAGAGCACACACAACAGCAATAAAAAATGTAGATAAATTGGACTACCTGAAAAAAAAAACTCATGTTTCAAAGGACACTAACAGGAAAAGTAAAAAGAACTAATGAAAAAGAAAATATTAACAAATCTTATATTCAAGAGGTCTAGTATTCTGAACATATAAGGAACTCTTAGAATTCAACATAAAAAGATGAATAACTGAATTTTAAAATGGGCAAAAGATATGAATAGATATTATTTCAAAGAAGATACACAAATGGATAATAAGCAAATGAAAAGTTGTTTCACATCATTAGTTATTAGGGAAATATAAATCAAAGCCACAGTGAGAAACTAACTACTCTATATCCATTTGGATAGTTATATTCAAAAGGACAAGAAATAAGAAATACAGTCAGGGATATAAAAAAAGAAAAGAAATCTCGCACACCTTTAGTGGGAATGTGAAATGATGCAGTCACTTGGAAGAGTCTGGCAGTTCCTAAAAAGGATAAACAAATTTCCAAATGACCCGGTAATTCCACTCCAGAGAACTGAAAGCATGTCCACACAAAAACTTACACATGAATACACATAGCAGCATTATTCATAATTGCACCAAAGTGGCAATAATCCAAATGTCCATCAAATGATGAATGGGCACACACAATGTGGTATATCCATACAATGAAATATTATCCAGCAATTAAAAAAAGAACAAAGTTCTGATACATGCTACAACATAGATAGTCATGGCTTGTATCTAGATGTCCTCCCAAAAACTATGCACTCCTAGGTGGGGCTTCTGGGAGAGATTTAGATCAGGAGTATGATACTGGATTAGTCCACTGATTGATTTAGCATGGTTGTGGGTATGACTGATTGATTTGCTGAAGTAGGAACACCACCCTGGGTGTGGATGGCACCAACCTATAGGCTCCTGGACTGGATAGAACAAGAGGGAAAGTAGAAGGAAGGCTGCTGCTTCTGCCTGCCACACAACGGACTGGTTCTCCTCTGTAGTACCCCTCTGTCATGCCACCCTGCATTGGAGCCAGCTGACTGTGGACTGAAACCTCTACTAACTGTTAACTAAAATAAAACTCTCCTCTCACTTGTCAGACATTTCGTTCCAGCAATAGGAAAGTAACTAAGACACAAATGAAACCTAACAATTTGCTTGTTGAAAGAACTCACATGGGAAACATCTAGAACAGGAAGAAGATCAACAGAGACAAAAAGTAGATTAATAGTTGCTAACGGCTCAAGGTATGGAGAGGAAATGGAGCAACTGCTAATGGGTACATGGTTTCTTTGTGGGGTCATAAAAGTGTTCTGGAATTCAATAACAGCAATGTTTGCACAACTCTGTGAATACACTAAAAACAGTTAAACTGTATCCTTTAACTGATTGAATTCTACAATACTTGAATTTTATTGCAATAAAGCTTTTTTTTAATTAAAAAAAAAAAGGTTTCCCAAGGAGAATTTTATTTCCAGGAATTAGAAAAGGAAAATATACTTACAAAGCCCAAAAAAGTAGGTCTCTAGGACTACCAACCAGCATTTCATTTAGATAGAGGTCACATTAGTTTTTTTCCTGCCTATCACACCATACTATGAAAGAATGGGTTTGGAATACATTCATCATGTGGAAATCAAATACAATGTGAGGCAATTTACTATATTAGAATCACCTAGTCAGGTTAACTATTGACCCTGCCATTTCCTGACTCCTTAGGTCAATTTACAATATCATACTCGACATAGTCTGCTAGGTTTCTGGGTGTGCCAAAACAGAACAGTACGCAGAAGCAAGTCTGGTGATACATTACTATTGGTTATAATTATGGTTAACTAAAAATGATTCTGCATGATTATGAATTATAATTATAAATACAAACTAGTATTAACACATCTTCCACCAAACATTTAAGGAACTCCAAGAATTATCCAGCTATTATCTGGCGAATTTCAAATCATACCATAAACACAAGTGTATTTTTCTATCAAACAATTATGATGAACATTACTGGTATACCGTATGATTTTGCTGGAAACTATAAATAAGCATGAGCATAAATGGTGTTTACCCACATCATCTGTTGAACAGACTAAACAAATCAGTCCTCATCTTTCCTTTTGCTTTCCTGTGCTGGGGATGAAACTCAGAGCCTCTCACATGCTAGGCAAAAACTCTTCCACATAGCTCTATCTCCAGCCCCCTCCCAGATCTTTCCTTTGAAATGAATACTTTAATGACCTTACAGAACAGGCAATAAACTGGACCTGTACTTGGGGTCATCAATTTCACACTGGCTCACGACAATTTGTGGGTTTATTGGTCTGTAGAGTCTGCTATAACAAAATACCATAGACTGGATGGCTTAAATGGCATTAATTTCAAATTCTGGATGCTAGGAAGTCCCAGATCAGGTACCAGCACGATCAAGTTCTGGAAGGGCCCTCTTCCTGGCTCTCAGACAACTGTCTTCTTACAATATCCATACATGGAAGAAAGAGAAAAACAGAGCTCTCTGGCAGAGCCACCATGAAGACCACACTATGATGTGATATACCATCATGGTGGCTATCTGTGCCTCACATATGAATGAGTAGGGCACAAATATTTTGTTCCTAACAAAGGGCAGAGGAGACACAGCATAAAAAGAAAAACCACAGATCTGTCACGTAGGCAGGGGGAAGGAAAGCTTTTAAAAGGAAAAAGCTTTTAAAAGGAAAATATTTTTAAATATTTTCTTAAATTTCAGTGTAGGACACATACATGCTGGCTCAAACTCATTTATAAAAATCTTCTATGACTCCAAAGATGATAGGCATAGACAACAAGCATCCACTCTATACAGGAATAGCTTAGAGGTAATAGGTTAGGTCATAACTACCACTTTTTAAAATTAAAATACCAAAGAGGAGCCCAGATTTCTCAATATGAATCCAAGAAGAAAGAGGGGGTCAAATGTATGGAGTTCAATATAAAGTATTTATTGGAAATGGAGATTCCAAATCTTTTTGAATCTTCGATTTTTACACTGCTGACTATTTAATATGATGTGAGCCATCCTCCAACTAAAGGGGAATCTCAATTATTTGACTCTTTTTTCAGGATCTTCTGATGTCTGAAGATATCCCAAGATACTGCATAAAGAAGGCTGAGAAACTCTAATTTACTCAAATCCCCAAAAGCATGTTATTGGAAAAATATTATATATCATTGAGTTCATTTTCAATAGAGAAATTAATGCCCCCTATGGTTGAAATATTATATTTTCCAAGTTGTTAAGGACTCCCATTAGAGGGCACTAAAAGTTTTCAAATGAGGGGCAAGACATCAACAGTACAATGGAATTATTTTCACCTAATAGTAGGTCTCTACAAGAATAGCAAAAGGAAATCTATTTAGAAATGTGGGAGGCAGATATTCATTTGTTTAAATGGAAAAAAATAAAAGAAAATTCATTTCTCTATGTGTGGGGACAGAGGAAATACGTAGACTAAATCAACTAACCAATTATTTGTTCTCAATATTATTCTATCCTCCCAGTTTTACTTTTCTTCTATTTCTACTCTATGACTTTACTTTGAGGCTTTCAAACTATGCTTCCCAAATTTACTTGCCTCGAAGCTGGCTACACATGGCTTTGGAACTTAATCTCTGCACCTCATCTGGCATTACCAGAGAACTCGAGTGTACATAGATGTGTTTGAATGGATCAGATCCTGGAGAACCGTGAATCAAGAATACCAGTAAGTAACAAATACACAGGGCAATATTCAGATAAGCGTTCAAGGACACCAGAAACACTATATATATTTGTATTTTCTGAAAACAGAAAAGAACAAATGGAAATGTCTCTTAAAGCAGCCCAAGTACCAGTAATGTGCAAGGGGGGAAATGTACCTACCCCTAGGTCTACTCAGGCATAACTGAAAATCAAGGGGATAATAGTTTCCTCTTCAGAGATATCCAAGAAAGAAGGTTTTGCATCTTTCTCACAAGTGTTGGGTGGAAAAGAGCAGGAAACAGAGCAGATTCATCTGTAAAGTCCTAAATCCAATGCAAACCACATAAATGGAAAGGACATGGAAAGCAGAAGATATATTCATTATATGTACAATAACTGATATGCCTTGTACACACCTGCTCTGAGTTCTATTTCAACAGCACTCAAGTTTTTTTTTAGTCAAGCCATGAAAATAATTCTCCCAATACCATCTTTCTTCAAAGTTATCAATGCAGGGAAAATATAGATATAGATATATCTACAGATATGTATACCATGTACATACATTAGTGGACACACACATTATTACATATTTCTTCAAGGGAAAACCTGCAAAAATAAAAATATAGCCATTTCTTCTCCCTCCCCAGTAACATACACTTTAAGCAAGACTGAAATTTAACTCCATGCATCATATGCTTAGTATCTAGTAGATGTTCAGTGTCTCAAAAATGAATGTTAAAAGTATTTGGAAGACAGGTTTTTGTTTTATCAATGTGTGTATTTAACATTCACTCATAAAAAGCATATAAATCTAGACAATCACACTGATATCTAATGAAAACGCCCTCATGACAAAAAGTGGAATCTATGTTTCAATAGAATGGAATGGGATGTTAGAGAAAGTATGAAGACAAATTTCAAACATTTAAAATTCTTCCAAATATGGACTTTTGGTGTCAGTTATCTTGGTTTCCATGGAAATTGGGGAAAACAGCCTATTTCTACTTTGAAACAAAGACTGCTTTTGCCTATAATATTCACATATAATCATAAACAATCTTTTCATATCCTTAGGTCACATCAAAGAATTTACACGTACAATATCTGTGAGTAGTATGCAATGTGTAGTTTAAACCTCAAAAGAAATGAATCTACTGTATCTGTCACTTGTCATTTAAAGAGTATCTCTAAAGAGTGGTGCCCTTTCAGAGCAGTGAGAAGTACTGGTAATCCTACCACTAGTGGACACACGGCTTTTTAGCCACTCATTTCAGTCTGTGGATCTCTTCCCTGAACAAGTGGGGAAAAATCTGTTGTGTATGTATTGGGGGTTCGTTTTGTTTTGTTTCATCCTATCTTCATTCTGCATTTCAAACAATAAAACAGGTAGAGAAACGTAGTGAGTGGGTTTTGTTTTATTTGGAGGTTGAGAAAAAATCGAAAGGCAACATAAAGTTTAACTTCACACGGTTGTTTACCACCAGATCGATGTTCCAAAAAAACCATCAAATACGCACAAAATAAGTCTCTTTCGAAACAATTACTTTGTAAAGGTGAGAGCAGCCCAAAACATATTTAACAGAGTAATTTTCCTTCCTCACAACAAAATCCCACTGAACCTTTGCTCTATTTGTAAATGTGAGCCCGCTCGGGAGGTGAAGGATGTCGTGGCCACCGCACGCCCACCCCGCGCTCCGCCAGGGTCGTCCGCGTAGAGCGCCCTAGGTCTACTCAGTCCTCCGGCCACCCGAAAGCCCCATCGGGACTCCGCTGCTCCCATCCTGAGGTCCACAACCCCTGCTCACTGCAATCACCTTCCCTGCAACTGCTTCTCCTCCAACTGTGTGCACTCTGCCAGGCACCCCGCAACCCCCGGCGGCTCGGCGGCTCCCGATCGCAGCTCCCCGGGCCCATGCCCTCGAGTGGCTTACCGAGCAGCG